CTTAAATTGGAAGTCTATAAAATTCTAGAAAAAGAATAATGGGACAGAAATAATTCAAGAATTCAAATCCTAGACTATAAATTAATGTTTAGAACACAAAACAAATTGAAATATAAATTTACGGGACACAATATTTACATAAATAATTAGACAACTGTGGAATATAAAACTCGGAACGTAAGACGCTCCGAGTATCAATAAAACCTTCGGAAATCGAAAATAAGCTAAAGTTACTTTACGTGAGCTGACCCACAATACTAAAACTCTAGGTACTGCTCTAACAACTAATATTTTCTGTTGAATAGCAGGTGAGTATAAATATACACATGTACGGGAATAAGGCGTTCGTGTATGAGTTCCTATTAACATTTAAAAAAATTATAGAACGTTACCAAATGATTTACTTTTATTGAGATAATTACAACCAATATTATAGATTAGTATAATATGAATATAGTTATTAGCTCAGCTACAATTTATACTTAATTTGCGTTATTGATAAAGTAATGATGGTCTTTTATAAGATATTCATACTCACAATAGGTACCTACTTCGATTTATGATATTTTTTTCTCAAATTATATGGTTTTAAATTCAGATTGTTCGTTGAATGATCTATCATTTTTTTCATGTCTGTTATCACTTTATGGAACAGTAAAAATGCTTTAATCTTCAATATATTTACCAGTAGAAAAGTGAATCTAGATACTTTGTAAAGTAAAAAGTAAACATTTTTTAGAAAAAAATCAATTTTTGGTTGTTGTAGTTTTATTGCAATTCAAATACGAATATAATCAAACTTGTTATTTTTACCAAATTATTATAGTAATTTCCTATACATAGTATAATATCCAAAATATTTTTTTGAGTTTTGTAGACATTTTAAATTCACTGTTTTTGTTTATTTTTATTCTATAAGTGTTTATAAAAAAGTGACATTCAGTAAAAAAGCTTAAAAATTCATGATACAAGATTCCATATAAGTTTTTCTTTTTACAATTTTAAAATATTAAAAATACTTAAGCCAAATTTATTTATAAGTGTTGGTAGTTAAAATTTATTTAAATTTCGTTAAAAATATAAAAATTTGCAAATTATTTTGTAGTTAACTATTTATGTGAACATTTGGAGTTTTTTAAAAAGAATAACAATTTTGTTTATTTTTTTGTAGTTCAAAAATATCGATAGATATTTAAAAAATTTTTATTTTATATTAAAATTCAGTATACGCAACGGCATTTTATAAATATTTAAATTAATTTCAAGGTATTGCCTATTTATAAAATCATTATAATACGGTAATACTAACATATACGTAATTAAATAAATAACTATAAAAACAATAGAAATGTATAATACAATTTACTCGTATTATGGGCTGATAGCTTGTTTCCACTTAGATTGTATTTTGAATACAATGATTAATCATTAAATTTTAATTTAACATATCTATTATTCCATCACAGTGATCTATACCTTAATGAAGAGGTATAATCAAAATCTACTGTATAGCAGAAAATTACCAACTTGACAGATTTTTTTTATTATAAAAGAACAAATTTTGATGAAACCTAAAAGTAAAATTATTATGCAATGCTATTAGTATTAACAATATGAATTAATATTGTAGCATTGTTATGATTTATAAAATTTGATGATGCTTAAATTGAAAAAAAAAGTCATATGATACATATTTTAGAGTAGAATTTTTGAAACTAATTATTTTATTACATTAGCATTACAACTTTAAACTATCATAATTTAATAATTTACTTCAATTATTATTTTAAACTTTTTATAGTAGTCACTCAATAATTCGAAATTTAGGGTAACAAGCTAAAAATTCGATTTACCGAAAGTTTAAATTAAAATTAATAATTTGAATTAAAAAAAGGTGAAAAATTTTATTTTCCAATCAATCTTCACTTGCTTGAACATTTGTGATACCTAAGCTGGTTGTAAACAACTTAACTTTCTGTTTTAAAATAGGTCCTGCTATAGGAATATTATTTAGCGTGCATTGAGTAAACCAGGCCATAAAACATTCTTCCAGAATTCCTTACTCACATTTTCTCTATCTGATCCTCGATAAGTAAGGAGTCAATGAAAATGTAATTATCAATGTAAGATGGTCCTTTGGTTTTATTATAGTTGAAAGCGTAGAAGTTAGAATATAAGAACGTAAAGCAAAATTTTTTTCACCAACTTCAACTACTGTGATCACTTCATTTTTTTTTTTTTTTTTGTCGGCGATTGATAAAAACTTATATTTTACAGGACCTATAATCAGATTAACTACGTTTTCAAAATTTGCAACACATTTCAGAGGTTTATTTAATGATACGATTAACGTCTAGATTAGGTAGGTAAGGTAATAAACTATGATAATATTTTATCGTCGTTGTTATTACATACATAGTTTGATTACGAGTACATCAATGAGGTATGAGTTTAAACATAATAAATAAATTCGAATTATAGAGGTGTTAGAAAAAAATTTTGAATTGTCCAGTATTTCTCGTTGACAGACATTTTGAATTATCGAGGGGATCAAAATATATATGTATTCTTCTAATTATAGAGGTTTTCTCAGGGGACCAAGCATTTAGTTGAATTTATGGAGTTTCTTGAATTATCGAGTGATTACAGTACATGAAGTAAAATTATATAATTTTCTTTTAAATTATGTTTTATAAGTATTGGAAACAATAATATATTAGAAACTTGGATAAGTATTTTGGTTTTATCTACCTATTGGCTATCCGACCTAGATAAGTAATACGATTCATCCATTCGCCTATATAGTCAATAGATCGCAGGTATTAATGTGTTCTAGAAGAAAATCCTAAAAAGAAGGATAATAAAGATTTAAGTCATGTATTAATTAGTTGTTATATCAAATATCCTACTTATTAATATCAAGTATTTATTTAATTGTTAATATTTCATAAGTGTATTTTTCAAAGATTTAGAGCAATAAGATTATTGTAACCATGCACCGTGTGTCTACTTTAAAACTAAAATTGTATGAATAAAAATAAAAATGATTTTATAATTAAAAAATGTTCAGTCGTTTTTTCTCATTGTACTGGTATGGATATGGCATAAAATGTGATATAAGAGGAATAGTTATAATACTTCTATATAATAAATTGCAGTGCACGTAAAGTTCGGCGAACTCTTTTTACAGTTTTCTGTATAGTGAAAATCGAATGTATTTTATTAACAATAGATTAATATAATAGATTACATTTTTATTTAATGATAAATCATACGAAATACAATTCTGAGGGGTGGAAACAACTCGTCTCCGTTCAAAATAAGTTTTAAGTTTCTAATGCCAGGTCGCATAAAAAAATTGATTAATATAGTTCTATAACATTTAATAAACCAATCACAGGTCACTTAATCATTTTAAAAGACCATTGCTCACTATTAAATATGATTTCATTAAATTTTTAGTGATTATTCGTCCTAATCTGCATAATAATAGTATTTATATTTTATGATTTATTTTATATTTGTATTAGTATATTACTATTCACACAATCTTCAATCAGTTATATGGTAGGTTGAACGAATTTTTACCAAAAACCAATTACATATAATTCATATTTAAATTATTTCATATAATATTATAAGTTGTTATCAACACGATAATAATCTATTATATCGTAGAATTATGATAATAGGTTTTAATAATAGCATAAAATTAGTCTAAATATTTAGAAAATTAAAATGTGAATCAGGGGCGATTCAGCAGTATGATGACCATAGGTAGAATATATTATGAAGGTCTAAAATAAATAAACAAGAAAATACATTTTTTTAATAATTTTATAAAATATTAATATTTTCAATATGTTGCTTGTTTAATTTACTTAGTAATAAAATATAATAAGAAGAACTTGAGAGTTAAATTAATAATAAAAATAATAATTTTAAATGATATTATTAAAATAAAATGTTTGAAACTTTTCTTGATATTATTATGAAATCTTCAATTGAATTTTGAAAATTAATTTTCCTTAAAACATCACACTTTGAGCTTATTCTTGTAATTAGTCTGATTCCATTAATAAAAGTGCGCAATCTTTTTTTTTATGTATTTTAAATTAAAGAATGATCTTTTACTACCATAGTTAGTTGTCATAAGAACTAGATAATTGAGAAAAACTATTTTAACATTAAGAAAACAAGCTTTTACTTTTTTATTAATTAATATTTTATACATTAAATGTTCACTGGTTTTATTTTGAAAAATGTTGTAAAGTTCTTTTAAATTAAATAAGCTCGTTTCTTAAATGTATATACATTATGTATACATATATCTATAGCATCTATATATTTATAAATGAAGTAACGAATACTTTTAGAAAACTACGATAAATATTTATTTTGAATTATTATAAAATAGCTAAAATCATTATTTTTTGTTAAAACATAACTAATTTCATCAAGATCTAAACTTAAAATTTTTATAAAAAAAATTTCCGATTTTCAATTTTTTTCGGTTAACAACTACTTAAGAGAAACTTTGTATAAAGTTGTCACTTATCAAGTTTTAGGTATTTAAAGTTAAAACTCTAAATGTTAAGAACTTGTAAAAAAACTGAATTTATGTTTAGTGCTGCGATAATTCTGTAGGATTCCTAATTTATACTTAATCTTTACGCTTATAGTTAGATACTAATTATATACTAGTTACTAAAACATGATACCTTTTATTTAAAAGTTTATAAGGATAAATGAAAAGTTTTGTATGTATATAAATTGATTCTATAGTTTTGTAGATATTGTATATTGTATATAACACTTATTACTATATTTACTTATAACCAACAGTAGGGCAATTTGTGTAAATTGTGTTTATAGGTAAATACATAATAATAATATGAGTTTAAAATAAAAATATAAAATACAAATATTAATTGATATAAGTATTGATGTTTTTTGTTCAAATATTATTTCATATAATTCAGACAAATATAGTTATGTCGTTAAATGACGTTTCTAGTCTCCAACATCCATTTTTTTAAATAATATAAAACTTCTCTGCGAGCATTAGTTAACTGAGGAGGGTCCGATGGAGTAGAAGGATATAAATCTGCACAATGAGATACTCCTAAAAATAAATAATTTGTTTTCATATTAAATTGACATTTTTAATTTTTTTTTTTTTTTTAATGAGCTAAAATAAATAAAAGTTTAAAGATAACTTACCTTCAATGAAAATTGAAACGGAATTATTTGATTGTGGCTGAGTAAGACCTAATTTATTCCATGGATCGATAGACCCGTGTAAATAAATAACCCGGCTTGTTTTTGTTTTTAAATTTTTGAACATCAAATTTGAGTTTTTGATTGCCTTATTTAATGCATTAAAGTCATATCTAAACGAACAAAATATCATATTATTATAATGTTTATTAAATTATTTATACGGAATAATTTATGTTCATTCTATAAATTTCAAAATTAAGCTATCCGGTATCATAATACGGCCCAAAAATGTATTAACAGTCAACATACATGAGTTATCAGCAACCATAAACATTTTATTATATAATATGTCAACCACAAAAAATCAAACTGCCAACTGCTGTAATTGACTATGTTTTTTTTATTATGTAAAAATATTAAATAGGTACTACTTCGAAACGTATAGGCATATTATGTAATATAGAGATACCAAAATGGTAGAGCAGCTGCACCCCTTTCTAAAATTTTAGAAATATTTAAAATTGCTTTCAGTGATTTTGAGTGAACGTATTACGTAAGACATGACCATAAGTAAACATTTTGGTTTGTAAAAATATTGCTACAAAATTTTTGAATATTATATACCTATTGCGTTAGCATACTAAATTTATGAGAAATCTAGTAAAGACTTTAAGAGAATGTAATTTGCTATATAGCGTGTTAGTCAGAGAGAAAATAATATCCTGGATGCGCTACTAATAAATAAATATAGAACTTTATAGCCGTTATAGTTCACAAGTTCACAGCATACTATAAATCATATTAATCTTTTAAAGCTGTAAAAAATAAATAAAAAAATGAATACAATATTATATTGTTCTTAATATTTTGATACATTTTTCATATTCCACATAAATAATACAAATCAAATAGACTACCATCTAAATTATAATTAATTATCGTATTGTACATTGGTGCTCATCATAATTCGAGTGCTATTCAAATAGTATCTGAGATTAATTTAGTCAACGAGAAATAATTTGTCTCCAATCCATAATATTGTCATGTGTCATGTAGCTTACCAATAATTAATAAATAAAAATTATTCTATAATAAGAGTCCTTGATAAGAATTTCTACTTACAGCTATCTACGCATTTTGATGTAAATATTGAATTATTTATAAATGGTGAATAGCATCAAATTATATTGTTGTTAAGTTATCTTGTTATTTTAGTTTAAGTCTTTGGTCAAATATAATGATAAAAGTGATTTTGTGATATGTAACATTCATTGGTATAATAGTAGTTTGTATAGCAATGTATTAGGTAAATAATAATAACCTAACCTTTAAATAATAAATTATCATAATCAGCGTCATCAAACACCGTTTTAGAATAAAATGAAGTACACCCTCAAGTGTTGTCTCGAAGTACAAGTAATATATTATAAATGTGCAATAGAGACAATTTTGCGTATTATTATGAATCTGAGGGACCTAAAAATTCCCAAATTATCCTCCCACTTTTCGAGAACTTATTGAAATACACTAGATACTATAATAAAAATTAAAAATATAATTTTCCAGAAATTGTTTTATGAACTTACGAGTTTCCAAAAACATCACTGCACCTATCAATAAAATAGTTTAATTGAATGGTTTTACCAAATAAGTGATCATCTTCATTAGATGTAACAAAATGACCTAATTCTGTACAGGTTTGGTAAAGCCATTGTCGATCTGAAATAAAATAATTTTTTTATTAAATTATGTTAATTTTTTTATTAAATTATGTTATATGAACCCAGATGAAATAGCTACCTATTTAAAGAAATAAATAACAAAGGTATTCTTTAGATAAGAAAAAATGTTTTAGAAATAAAATAACATTTCAAAATCAAAAATGCTAAAAGAATGTGTTTTTTTTTCATTATCTTTAACACTTTACTATTTAAGATACAAAAAAGTTACAACATTACATGTTTAATGATGAGTCTTTCCAAATAAGTAGAAACTAGTAATTATATAATAAATACTTAACAAGTAAAATTGAGGCTAGTTATATAATAATGATAAATTTACAATAGTTTAGTTTTTCAGGTTATTAGTGTTATTGTTTTATAAAATTGAAAATTTTGCATTTATCTGGGATATATATGATATACTTACAGTATAAGCAAGGGTGGAGTGGCCCACCGGGATATCGGGAAAAATCCAGGTGGCCTGGAAGCTAAATGGCCCGTTGGCCTGAAGTATAGATAGAAAAAAAAACATGAAAATAGCGTAGAATAATGTGAGAAGTATATTAATTATCTATACACAAAAACGAAATCATAATAACAATTTAATTAAATATCCTTTTTATAATATTTTTGTTATTTTAACTCTAATAAGCGATGGCTATTCTTTATGAATTTGTCGTAGTCCATACATAGTGTATACGATATACCAACGTTAATAGAGTACACACTCTATTTTTATAACTTACGTCGAAACTCTACAACAAAATAATACTTTATCGCCTCGCGACTATCGAGTCAAATATACATTTTCCTATTATTTTGTCATCAAAGTATCTATTTAACAGAATACAGTATGATGGACTAGTAAAGTATCTTTATACTAGGTACATAATTATATTTCATACGTTTTGAAAATTTTTGTTTTTAAATATTATATTCATTTCAATATTAAATATTTTTCGGGTTTCCTCGAAATGAGTGATAATATTAAAAGGATAGGTGGTGCTGAAAGAGAGAGAAAAAAGTAAAAAAGTAATAGTGTTATGTAGAACACAACATATGTAATTAGTTTTATATTATTGCAAAAGAAATTTACCTAACATTTTTACAGATACTAAAATATCTCTGGCCATAATTATTTATCATTTAAAACCGATCATATTATTATTAACATCATTTATTATGTAAAAAAATTTTAAGATAATAAAATTTTTAGTTATTTTAGATTTTAAATTTAAAGTTTTTTTAATAGTTTTATCAATAAAATAGATACCTATGCAATGAATTTTTATATTTATCATTTACCTATTTACATTTTAATACAAAATTCATCACATACATAAATAAAATAAAGTTTCTATTCAAGAGATAAAAATTTTGAATGGCCTGGAGGAAATTTATTTTCCTGGCCTGAATTTTTCCCCCCTCCGCCTCTGACAGTATAGGTACTATTGTGAATTGAATAGTGTATTTATTAATATTCTAATTGTTAGGCTTTTATATTTTTCTATTCTCCTATTATTTTTAATTGATTATAAAAAATATATTTATTTATATATATAATATTTAACTTAAATATTTATAAAGTATATAGGTAATAACTACGTTACTCTTACGTTACAAAAAATTAATAGATTACGGATAACGGATATTCTTTTAATTCCATAAAATTTGTTATTCAACAAGCTATGTAAGTATAATGAATAGTTAAAAAGTAAATTAAAAAAAAACAAAAAAATTATAAACAGTTGATACATAAAAATTATTAATTCTTATCTATTAAAATAAATTAATGTTAATATTTAATAATTTATACCTATGTATAAAACCATATAATAACACAAGTCTACTTGACCTATTCGTATAAAATATACTATATTATTTTTTTTCCAAAAAATTACTCTGATTTTTTTTTTTTAATCTGCAATATTTGAACAAGACTAAACAACGATTATGTTACTTAAAAAAAAATATTTTTGTGAGCCATAATATTATACTATTTAGTCATAAACAGTTTTAACGAAATTACTCAATTATAGTAATGAATTATTTTAGTTAAGTTACTATTTATTAACTGAATATTACTGACCATTGACAATCAGTCTTCAAAATCATCAAGATCAAAAAAACCCATTTATAATCAACTAATATTCATTATAATTTTATTTGATCAAAAAGATGGTACATACTAACCTCCGGATTTTACAAATTGTTTTTTCCAAGATGTTTCCTTAAAAGCGTTAACTATAGATTGATATTTATTTACAATACATTCTTTATTGTTAACGGATCTTAATAATCTGTGTAAATCTGCATATCTTTCAAGCTGAAAAAAATTTTACTTTATTATTGATTATTATTTTATTAGTTTCTAATTTATCCAATGATAACAATCATTCAGTTATTTTAAAAATATGTGTAAAAATAATTTAAAAAAATAATAAATAGTTAGATAGATATATCCTAAACAAAAATTTAAACTAAAGGTAAACCAGCTCCTATATCCGTAATATCTAGCTCTAGATGTTATATTATGCTAATGTAAATTTTTAATAGGTATTGTTTAAAATTAAATAGCTTTATACATTTCTAAATTTTTAAGAGTATTAAAAATAGATAAGAAATAAATTATTTTACGTTAATATGCTTAGTATAATAATACGTATGAAAACTTAATAACACCAGTTCACGTGATATATTTAATTAACTTTTACTATAATATTTATGGTTCAAGTAAACATTAGATATATTATTGTCCCAATCACTGGAAATTGAATTATGATGAGCTAAAATGTTATACATTATACTTTGTACTCAATAATGTTTAAACCTAACCCGTATTTTAAGCATTAATTATTTTATATTATTATTATAATATTTTATATTGCAATACTCCTCGAAACGGTACCTAACGCGTTTTTTCGTTATATTGCTAGGTACCCATCAATGAATAGATAGATGTCTATTTTATTTTATGGTGAGATATTAGATTATTATTAATAAAACAAAATTTACAGTTAATACTCAGTTCACAATCATAAATTATAGTATTACACTAATAACTAAATTTTTCGTATTCAATAGCGTCCAGACAGATTCTATAAGTACTGTAACTACATGTGCTCTTAAAAGGGATATGTAAAAATAACTAGTGTAATAAGAAGTATTTATGTATAATAATTAATATTCCAAGGACTAAATAAAATTATTGATTTATTTAAATATTTAATCACTGACACACTTAACTATTCAAAAATATAATGTATTTATATACTATATATTTAATTAAAAATATATCTTGAAATAAATATTTAGTAAGTATAATAAATTTGTAAAGTACAGCAAGACAATTTCTTTATAAAACAAAATGGGGGTAAATGAGTGGGTATACTTTTACTTTTTATACTTGTACTTCCAAAATTTCTGTACACTACTGCTCTTAATGATAAAATACTTACTTCGTTTCCTAACGACTTGTCTAACATCATATTACATAATGTTACTATTGATATAGACGACCGGTCTACATTTTCGTAATATCTGTTATCTTTATTAAATTGTATAATTAATGCAATGGGTATAGCTAAGTTGTCAAACAATTGTGTTATATCTTTTTTATTATTTATGTCTATATGAGTGCACGTTCTGAAATTATATAGTTACAATTTATTGACGTTTATAATATTTAACTATTGTTGTATACACTATTTTGGTGTCAATTAATAATTTTAAATTACTTGAATTTTTTCTCAATATATTTGGCTCCCTCAATGGTTTTCAAATAATCGTTAATCATTCCAGTTGCTTCTCTTATACGCGAAGCGCATTTTAAATTATAATCCGATAATGCGTTTTGGGCAGTCATATAATATTCTACACAAAAATAAAAGAACTAAATATTATTTATTTTTTATCAATTTTCCCGAAGAAGGTAAATTTTGATCAAATAAAATGCAATATACTAATACAAGTATAATGTATATAGTACTAAATATTTAGTTTATATCAATTTATTTTAGTACGTACTACCTATAGTGTACTATTATATTTTAAAATTATGTATTATTGGGATACAAATTGCATAATATATATTTTACTATGTTGTTGTGAAAGATTAAATAAATTTAAGATAATGCGTTATGTTATAGTGCCTTGTGTCTACCTTTATAATCTATTTTCGCACTTAAAGCGCCACTTGATGAAACTGCTGCGTAAATGAGATGTGGATATTTCATTCTTGCCCAGGCAGCTAAACTTCCTGCATACGATCCTCCAAATACTACCCATTTAGCATTAAGCAGCAATTTTTCATTTTCATTTGTTATGGTGCTTATAAATGTTGCTAAGTCAGCTAATGCTTGTTCAATATTTAGGAACAGTAAATTTGTAGTATTTAAATTTCTGAAAAATACAATTATCATAGAAAAAATCGATGAGAATTGAATAAAAATTATTAAATTATTTTTTAAATTTATACCTTAGATATGGGTTGAGTGCTTAAAATTTATTTTTTTTTAAATTTTCTTAATAATCAACTACATCGAATAATATAAACAATCACTTAAGTACTAAATGTTTAATGGATCAATAAGTAGTGAAAATTAAGCAAATAAGCGTATACGATGTCTAAAAGGTAGTAGGTATGTATATATAAATCATTATTGTGACTAATGATTGTTTCATTAAATTTTATTCAATTATTAAATCAATCAATTTTTTGTGCAACTAGACATAAATTATCTTTGAATTATTTATTTCATAATTATTATGAGTCAAGAGATATGAGAAAATATCTTAAAATTCGTTGTAATATTAGTAGTTTATATTATACTTCCTACTCATAAATAGATACTTCAAATAATGGCAACTGCAAGTTAGAGATTGTAACCAAATAATGTCAGATCTTTTACAAATTTTACAAGTATTAAAGCGATGTAGGTGCGTAATTTCATAATTTATATTGAAATTTAATTTATGTTTATTATGTATAGTGTATGCTATAATTTTTATCTGGAGTTAAATAATAAATCTCGAATACCTGTCGAGAAAAATTAATTTTAATGGTACCTGCACTGTGCACAGCTTAAATCATTATAATATTATAAGCACCTTAATTAATTTTCCATGTAATATAATCGATGTTTAAGTTAAAATGTTGACGCCATTAGATATTTAAACATATAAATATTTAATATTGTTTATCTTCAAACAATGTTCGTTATTTCATTGTTATTCAAAAATCTTGAAACATTCTGCAATTACTTAAACTGTAATTTACTATACACAAATCAGTATTTAAAACATTTAGACTAATTTCAAGTTAAGAACTTAGGTGTATGCATATGAAATTGTATTTATTATTTTTTCTATGAACGTTAATTTCCAATCTATCAAAAAACTCAAAAAATTGTAAACAAAATACCTCATGAGTTATACCACTTATACCTGTAGTTATTTAAAAATAAGTATTTAAGATAAAAAAATTCATAAAAATCGCAGATGTGTCATGTTAGAAATCAGTTAAAGAAAACATTTTTTATCATATTACGAGTATTATATATTTATATTTTTTATTTGTAGTTTAATTAATAGGTATTAAGTAGGTGCCTAATATGCTGTGTTTTAAATTTAAAAACAAATTTCATTAATTACTTCAGGAGAACTGTAGTCTGTAGAGTGATTTTATTCCATGATATCATATATATATATATATATATAAGAATTGAAGTAATAAATTATAAAAAAGTATTTAATATCCATATAATAAAATACATTATGCAGATAAACAGATTGTATAGTCAACCATTATTAAAATAAAGTTTGTTAATAGAATGAACCATTCTAATCACAGTTTTTAATATCAATCAGGTATTATCAATCATTTAGGTAGGTACAATATTATTATTTTGGCCTATTGTATTTTATTTTATTATTAGAACTTTATTTTATTCTATACTGTATTCAATTGTAAATATTATTAAAATAATCTTCAGATAACATTCATTATTGAGTCCGCAATAAATAATAAAGAAAACCTCTCGAATTAATTATTATTTTATTCCTCTTTGTAGTACTTAGTACTTACCCAGTGGGATGACTTTTTCCATAATACCGATGTTCCAATTGAAAACACAAAGCATTGCATTTTTGAGCGTATTCAATCCAAGCCCCACCGTTCATCCAATCCTGTGAAATCTTGTCTTCTCCACCTATAAGTAGAAAAACTGGGCCTCCGCGTTTATAGTATTTCAAATTCATTTGATACCTCTAAAAAAAATCAATCATTTTATTAATACTTGTCTGATAATAAGTGTTATAATATTCAATATATTGATTCGTTTTAACGCGTTACAGTGTGCTATATTATGAATTAAATTAATTAATACCTGCTTCCATGTTCTCGTATCAATAGGATTAAAATGATCCAGTTTCTGTTCAAACCATTTGTTTTCGAAAACCAAACTTCTAGTTGATATTGGTAAATATGGTTTTCCTACACCCACTAGTTTCATAAAACTACTTTCATTAGCCAAAGAACCCCACCAAAGGCAACACCAAACCACACAAAATATTAAATTCATTTTTAAAATCAAATCCTTAATCTGAAAAAAATATAACCTTTCTTTAAAAATTAAACTAATTATTATTATTTACAAAAGTTAAACTTTTGTAATTTTTTTAATTGTTATGTAATATATTTCCAATATATTATATTATAATTAATACATTGAGTTACATATATTTATTTTGAAACACTATTCCTTAACAGTCATATTAAGTACTCAAATTTTAAAATTTAAACAAAGGAGAGCTCAATTCAATGATTTAAAAACTGTGTTCTAAGTGAAATTTTTTTAACACAAGAAACTTTTCACTGCACTCGCCAAGCATTACAAAATTTTTTTTTGTACTATATTTCTACTTTATACAATATAGTTAATACGTAATTAATAAATAATTTATATTAAATATAATTTATGTTAGGTAACATGAATTTATGTTCATCTAAACGTTCGCTTATTATATTTTGCAAAAGTTATCATAATACTGAAGTTTTCACTTGTCTTTAGTAAGTATATTAACATTTTAAAAAAATTATAACTATTGCGACTAAGGATTTATATGCAATAAAATGTAAAATATTCAAAAAAAATGTCCTTTCAGTTTTGAAAACTTTATTAGAATATTCTTCACCAAATTGAATTTTGTTGGTTTTTTGATTATGTGACAAACACAATAATTAGTAGCCGTATATTAATTATATTTATGACGTATAAATAAATATATATATTTTTTTTTTGTAGGTATTAATTTGTAATAACTTCTAAATATGCAATTATATGCAATTGAATAATAAAAAAAAAAAAATGTGGAAAAATGATTCTATTTAATCGAACTGAGCAAAATAATGAATATAACTGATAGCTAATTAATTTAAAATAAAAACCCATACAAAGACTTCTATGCCTTAGAAACCCTACTAATTATAATCATAACTTATAACTATAAGATTTCTATTGGTAGTGATCTCATGTATGTATTTTTATGAACGGACTTAGATGTTTAGTAGGTAACTATTTAATATGTTTAAATTATGCATTAAAACGGTTTTAGATTCTCAGATAACTATTTGTATTTTTACTGATAAATAAAATAAATCAAATTATTGGAAAAAACGTGAGTAGGTACCTACCGATGAATACTGGATTTTAAAACTTTTAACGCCATAATATAATCGAACCAAATAATTAAAAACTTAAGTATTGGTTAAGGATGTCCTAAAGGTACTCGAACTATTACTTATAATATTTATGCCATGCATCCAAATCATTTACGTATTCGGCTTTCGGATTTTCAATGTACCTAATTCTAATTTAACATACTCGGCTGTTCAAGCATTGAAATAAAAAGTATAAACAAATGTTTGGATGTTACTAACTTTGTAATCGTTATTATTCAAGTTATTAAGGATGTTAGAAATTCAGAGAAAATTTAATTTGAAAACTATAAAACTATGTACCTAAGTAATCATTTTTTAAATTACAGAATATTCCTTAGAATATTATTTAATTTATAAATGGGTGACACTATTGCATAAATGAACGAAACAAACCATAAAGCATGAATTTTAAAATGTGTTGATAATAAAAAATATTTAATAAAAATTGATTATAAAATTATTTTTGTTAATAATTATCACTAAATAACTTAATAGAAATGTAAACTAATCGCTAAACTAGGGAAAATCCTTACAAAATATCAAAATTACATATTACCTGATAAAATTTTTAAAATTAAAAATAACTTAGATTAACCATGGTGATTTATACTTGGGTTTCAAGTAATTCAGATATTTAAAAAAAAAAACATTTGCTTATACGGGGTTTTTGGAAAATGCAATTATTGTAGGCTTATAGTGGTGTACTAATGTAACAGATTTTAGTTAATTCGGATGCAATTCCCTGGATATATGCGTATAAAAAACGAAAAAAAATAATACTAAATAAATATACTCACTTATAATGATCTACAGAATTTTAATTTGTTAACTTTTAAACTACCTATTGTAATAAATTCAAATTGAAGTTCAACTATTTAACTGTGAGTATTTCGTTTTTATACCTGTGTTTTAATTAATTGTATCAAGGTTAAATACTAGTTGTAAAACATTTAATTAGCTTTGTGGTAATACACTAAATGTACTATTTTATCTTACATATTACACACTTGTTACTGTTATGGCATTTTGACGATCTCATCAGAAATCATAAATACCTGTTTAATGAATAAATTAAAAAATGTATCTATATAGTTTTTAGCCGAGTGTACTTTTATTACAAATTATATTTTATATTAGCAGATAACTGATGTCTGTTAAGTGAATAATAATGTTTTTATTTATGCGTATACTTAAAAGTAAGTACATTACCATTTTAAATGCTACATCAAAAACAATTAAAATATTAATAAATTATTTAAGCTGAATTGCATAATACATATTTAAAATTAAATTACCTCAGTATACTAATATAGAAATGTAGTTTCACTAGCCTAAGCGTCAACTAAGAATCTTAGCGTAGTTAAGTGCTACATACAATATTTTAAATTCCATTAAAGCTTATTTTATCATAGCACGTATAAAAATATATTAAAAAATACAAAATAAAATATTTAAGTTTGCATTTTAAATATTTAAATTGTGATGTATGTGATAAAATTTTACATAAATATTTCAAATACGAGTAGATAATATATAATACATTCCATAAAATACAAGACTAAAATTTAAAATAATAATTATAATTTTTATCATCATCTATTTATTTAAGTCAATAAAACACTAATAAATATTAATATCAATAATAATTTATGTTGTAAAAAATCTTTTAATTAATCATTTATATTATATTATAATTATAATTTATTAATATATAAACTATAATAATACACCACTAGTAGATTGTTGGTTCGAGAGAGAAAAACAAGGGAGTCGAAATCGTTTTTACAGTCGTCTGAGTGTTTAATACTTGGATAGTCTTAAATCTATCGCCTTCAAAACGTCCATGTCATAATATTGTAGGGTAAACCCAATTTGAATTAAAAAACTATAATGTTTTATATACTACACGCGTTATAAGTCAATTTTGATAAATTTTTAACTTGCAGTCAAAACAAAAAGTATCCTACTTTTTAAAGAACGAAAGGAAAAATATGTCAATAGTTATAAATTAATAAATTATTTTATTTTTGAAGTGCTTTAATTTTTTTGCTTGCCTTTTCAAAACTTTCTATCTTTCAATTATTAAAATATAAAGCGTAAACTAATGAAATATTATTTATTAATTATTTTTTATAAATATAAATGTATAAAAATAAATATTATAAGAAACAAAATTTAAGAAATACTACATAGTTATATTTTACTGAATTTTTTTAAAATGGAAAATCACGTATAAGTGTACAACCAAGTGTATAATATAAAATATAGAAGGACGTAAAAATAACCAATTGACATTACTGCCCGATGAGATACAAGCTACACACAAAAACATTACACGGATTAAAACTTTTCAATAAATCATTTTTGTTTATAGGTATTCCATTTTAAGTGTAGTCTAGGTCAAAACCTAAACGAATAATAAATTCTCCTTGATCTCCGACTTATATTGATATCAATAGTGTTTAGTATAGGTGTTTGTATCAGAGTCCTAACATATATTTTGATAAATATTTTATATTATTAGAACTATATTCAGTTAAATATAGAGTACAGTAGATATTAGTAGAAACTTTTTTTTCAAATTACCTAGTGTCTCAGCTTAAATGTAAAATTGAAATGTTTTGATAATTTTATTCGTTGGTAAACATTTTTTAGTAATTTTCAGATTCAGTGCTGTTAATTTCATATTTTAAATTATAATCAGCTATCAAAAAAATAACTGAATAAGTATCTAATTATATCATGTTCCAAATCAACAACATTAAATAAATTTTTATTAACTGTTGGTGTAATTGTCGTGGGTGAAATATCTTCTGAACCTACAGATCTATCAGAACTATATTAACTATACTAGTCATATTAATTAAACTTTTCGATACTATAGAACTTTTCTCAGCTCATTTAATTTCTAATATAGTTGTTAGACATCTAGGTAATAAATAATAATTATAGAAAATAATGAATTACTCTAATTCAATTAATTACTTACCAATATATGCACTTTGCACACTGTCTTAACTCAGGGTAAGTGAAAATCGAAATGACATAAATTACTGTAAACGTAAACATATGTTTAGACATAAGTGTTCATTAAAAACGATACCAGAAACATTATCATATTATGAAATTATTCGAGAATTTAACTTATTTTAAAGATTACCAACATTCAACATGATTCATAAATGTTTAATTGTCTGTATTAATATAAGCCAATACGTGTGTGTGTGTGTGTGTGTGTGTGTGTGTGTGTGTAAATGATCATATGTAAAAGTATATCGTATTCATGGATCTGAAATATGTAATCCTATGCCCGATAATGTACACTTAAAAGCCTCTTAATACTGACCACTTATTTTTTTCATTTTAAAGAGGGGATCCTACAAGGATTTGTCAGCTTACGAAAAACGAATATTTTTTTTCTTTTTTTGGAAGAGGTTGATTACATACAATAAAATAGTCACTTTGATTTTCTATAATTTTAGACGTGTGTATTTTGGATTTGCGCAAAATCGTCCGAACGATTGTAATAAAAATATGTGTAGTTTATATATTTAACGAAATTTGAGAAGATGTCTGCGCAACTATTTTTTTTTTTTAATGACATACTTTCAAATAATAAGTTTTATTCCTAAACGATTAGACTTAGCGTTACACAACCTATTATAAAAATTATAGATAATAAAATTATCTAAGGAATGACTTACCCATTTGATTTTTCATTTGTTATTAAAAAAGAATATGATTTTTTTAAATTGTCGAAAACTGCAATTTTTTAATCTTTAATTACTATCGTTTCAGTTATTTAATCAAAAAATAGAAATGTCGTACCCTTAATAATAATGTAATATTTATTTAAAATAATTTAGTATTTTTCTCTAAAAGTACTCTAAACCTTAGTTTTGGTCATTTTTCGTAGACATGTTTTTTTTTGTCAAATTGTATTTTCGTAAGGTACTGCCACCTACGGACGGCGGCAACGCCGACGGTTACTTCTTCAACGTTACCACAATTAGAGCAGATTCGGTCGCGTAACATGTATGCTCGGTATATTTTTAACTAATCGGCGATTAACTTTTTCAAAGAATAAATCATGTATCAATTCCAAAATAAAATATTGCAAATTGCAATGCATACCAGATATTTATAATAATAATAATAATAATATTTCTATTATTATTATTTTAATGTTTGAAGTAATTAAAAATATCTCTAATGGCTATAATGCTATACGAATACGACGTCGGTTGTCCATCAATATTGTTAATTTTGACCTTTTTTGTAAGACAGTTGCACATCACTTGATTTTTGGGTTGTACATCATTTGCGCATCAATATTATTTAACAATTGAACTAAAAAAAAATAGTGTATACTCAAAAGTGCTGATTGTTTTCTAACTTTGATCTTATAACTCGTTCATTTCCAAATTTACTCTCGTAACATCCAATTTTCAAATATTGTACAGATGTTTCTATTTTAAAATATATAATAAGTAATATTATGATAAATAATATTGCGATAATATTGTATAGGTAATCAGTTAACAATAACAAAACTAAGATGTACGGTTAACTAATCGATTTTTATCGTATAAGTATATCAAACGAGATACTGTAATTTTAACTTTTGAGTACATGTAAGTACATGCTCATTTCAAATGAGTCAATTCAAATTTGTTAATTCAAATCGTGGAAAAGCTAAAATAGTTTTCCAAAAGTATTTTTATAATATGTGTAAAATATATATTATGTCTTCCGACAAGTGGACACGTACTGCGCCACTGATTAAGAGATTACGCGACAATCGTCAACGCAAATTAAAGAGTTCACATAATAAAATTACGCGGAAAATTACCAACGCAAATTTAAGAAAGGTGACTGACTTAGACGATCGCGGCGGCCCGTATATATAGGGACCGTCGCGGATAGATCAACAAAGGGGGGAGGGGGTGTCGCGTCTAGAATATTCAGGCGTTGTCGCAGTGACACATGCGCATCATCGAATGATCGAGAATATTCCAGATCTGTACCCAACATCCTCCCGCCTTTGAAAGGATACTTTCAAAAGTTACAACTATACAAATAATTAGTAATAAATTATACAATACGGAAAGATAAACAATGAAAACTTGTGAAATTGAGGCTTTGTCATTCCGATCGTCGCTAAATTAATATAACATTACAACGCGACTTTCGTTGTGTACCGATCGGTCGACGTGTGTGAATTGCAAGTGCTGTCTACCATCAGCTTACTATCATTGTTTTGGTTGCCCGTTGTTATACCGTCGTGCCCAAGAAGAAACAGCTGACCAGTGGCCGGACTGTCACCGTCAATTGATCACCCGCCAACGACAACATCGGCATAGGAACGGAGTCACGTAAATATTGTCATTATTTTCATATCTGATATTACACTATTACAGTAGACGCCGCTTATAAGACTCACTTTGGGACCAACACTAAGTGAGTCTTATAACCGAATGAGTCTTATAGCCGAAGTGGAAAAAAAAAATAATTACGTATTTATAAATTTTATTTTACTACATATTTTGCTTTGATTTTAATACATTAACACATATTACATATTACTTACTTTATTATTGAATACATTTTATAATCCCGATAAAAATACTAAAATTATAATAGGTAAATATTACATATTACGATAACTGTGCAGCCGCCAGATAATCAGTACACTATAATAACAATTATCGTTGCGATAAATGTGAACTTTTATCTGCGATAAAAATTATTATACGTTATAAGATACCAACAGAAACTAGAAATAATCAACACGAATATTATTTCATTTTTCAATACCAATTTATTTCTAAATTATAACCAAAAAAGTTTATTTTCTACTATTTATTTTACGAAATTTGAGTCTTATAACCGAAGTGTTGAGTCTTATAACTGATTTTTTTTTAATGTATTTGGATACGTCCGGACCGTTCCAGACGATTTTGAGTCTAATAAGCGACTGAACCTTATATCCGTGAGTCTTATAACTTATAAGCGGCGTCTACTGTATTACATATACAAATTGTATCACGATTGTTTAGATCGTATTTGTCCGAATATTATTATTATTATTTCTTATTATTCTTATTATTATTATTATCACCACGACGAAAGTGATTGTGATATCTGTTATTCTATTATCAATCATTGTATAAACTGTCAACACTTCGTCGTTGGTGATACGTTAATTTGTACGTTTTAATATTATATTTGTGTAATCCATACTTTAAATACGACTCGAATGTTTATATTTTGTATGGTCACCTCTCTTTAAGCAATTCTTCACGTTTATTCCCAATTCATCTTTCGGTGGTGTAGTCATCGAGGCCGACCACAGATTTGTAGGAGCCTCGTGGCTAAACAATTATATTAAACTAACAACCTAAAATTAGTTCTTTTGAACGCTAATTCAGAATGTTATGTATTTGAAAGACGATGGCAACATGCGCATTCTTTTGATGGTATTTGAATTAATTTATTTCATAAAACGAATAGAAAATATTGTACAAATCGAACTTTGTAGTGTTCATTTCATGAAAAGTTTTACATACATTTTTCTTTATTTTCACAAAGTGCAAAAAAGTGCTTTCTATTTCATGAAGTAGCAAATAATACTTTAAACGAAATGAACCATCTCCCTAAGTGGATGTGACAAACGTTTACATCTTTAATTTGACGTATTAAGTCATTATAGATATCACGTATGTATATTATGAATGTTTACTGGATACTGGTGTAACGCCATCGTAAATCTTATTTTATTTTTTTTTAATGACTTACTGCATGGTTATTCTAATGTACCACTATAATAAAAGTAATATGTAAATATCTCTACGAAAAAAAATTGAACATACGAACAATGTATTTTATAATAATGTGTTTATAAAAATTATTACAACCAGAAATAAACATTAAAATTAAATTAACGAATAGCATACTATTTGTATTGATCTAAATCAACGAAATCATTTTCCGCCAACCATTCTTTCAAGTATTCTCTGATCGTAGTGCGAGCTTGCGTCAATTCCGGAGGATCTGTTGGTGCAGGAGGATACATATTTGCGCAATGAGCTGTCCCTAAGAAATAAATGCACGCATATCGCAATCAAATGTTAGCGTTACGAAATACTTTTATTTATATTTACGTCTACACGTTATATATCAATTAACAGAAAATGATATTGATGTAATTTTAAACGATATTAATTAATAGTTACCGTTAATGAAAATTGCCACATTGTTTTTTGTCCTCGCGTGCGTAATACCTAATGCATGCCATGGATCAACAGAACCGTGTACAAATAATACTCGACTTTCTCTAATGTTCAATTCACCAAACATGTTATTCGTTCTTTCGACCGCATCCGTCAATAGTTCTAAGTTATATCTAAACGGAAAATATTATCTTTAATACGGTATTTTCAAATAATTTATACTATTATACATATTAATTATATTCTATAGACTATATAATAAATTTATAATAAACTTTATACAATAGGTTAATATGTCAATGAACGCACAAAAATTATCGTCAAAAATACCAACTCTTACTCTTCTAGGTAAAATAAATTTTAAGTAAGAATGATATCGTTTTGTAGATGTTAAATGTTAATAGTTGATAAATAAAACTATTTTTTTTTTAAATGTTAAAAAAATAAATAATTTTTAGTATTAACTAGTAGGTATACAATTTTATTGTGTGTTTTACAATATTTATAAGTATACTTTAATAAACTAAAGCCTACCTAACCTAATACCGATACCGATATTAATATTGTGCCGCGTTCATCAACTTACGATTTTCCAAAAATATCTTTGCACAAATCAATGAAAAACTGTATCGGAAAGTTATGACCAAACACATGATCATCTTGACTGGATGTTTGATAAAATCCAAATTCTGTACAAGTTTGATATGTCCATTGTCGTGCTGTAATAAAAATTTTTAATCCCGAAAACATAAAGAATTAAATAAAAGTTAATATTGTTGGTATTCCATTAACTATTTTTTTACATAATAATGTATGTATCATTTGTGATAATAATTTTTAAACTATATTTTGTATAAACATTTTATAAATTAATATAATATACCTACTTAAAAGCTCAATACTAACCACCTCCTGCTGCATCACTACTCCAAGATGTATTTACATAAAAATCGATTGTCTGGGAATAAATATTATCTTGGCAATCTGTTTTATATAAAGATAATATTTTACTGTTAACAGCTGCGTATCTATCTAACTAAAACAATATAATTATAATATTACAATATTGCTATAAGTCAAAGTTTATTATATAGATAATATAATAAATTAAAAATAAATGTTTATTTTTTAATTATTAGTATTAAATAAACCAAAACTCATCTCAGATTGAAGAATAATATAAAAAATACAATAATATTCTTATGATTTCAAGTACCTACATAATTTTTCAGGGTTTGTTAAAATATTTAATATCGTTAAAATCTCTTTTTTATATAATACAATACCATAATTCATTTATTTAGGATAAAATCTATTGTTTTAGTTAATTCATGAAAATAATTATTATTTTGACTTTAAACCCTAAAGTGTCTGTTATTAATAACGCGAAATCGTTTTGTGTGTGATATCTAAATTCTTTTTTAATGAAGTTGGACGTAAATTATATATTACACAGAAAAACATTATTTTTTAAACTTCCTATGCGGTATCTTTATTTAAATGACCAAAGGTCTTTAAAAATACGATACATTATGGACGAGTACAGTATAATAATATTTATATAAGTAATAATATAATAATAATAATAATAATAACTTAAATATATATTCAAAAATAATAATAAAAATGTTATATTTGTATACTTATAAAATTATAATACTGTTATAATCTGTAACCAATGGTAACCATTTATATAAACAGAAAAATATTCAATTTTTATAATCCATAACGAAATTTGTGACTGTGTGAAACTGTAAACCATCTTATAAGGATTGAAATATTTAACTTTTACTTAAAATGATCAAGTAGTCTGAGATTTACAGTTAGCAATTTACGTTTATTACGGTAACGTATTTTCGTTTGTTCGCACGAAATGAATTCAACTATCAGAGCCCCTTCCTACAATCTTGGGCCCCTGTACTAAATGTTTATCCAAGTCCTTTATAACATTTCCAAAAATACAATTTACCATCTATATATATATATGTATATAACAATTTTTGAAATAATATATTTTGTATTTTAATAAAATTAAAGCAATTCGAATTCAATATTCATTGTTAAGACTGGATAACATCTGTCGGGTCAGCTAGTAAATTATAAAAAATCAAAATTCATAAGCATTTCAACATTAATAATGTCTTTTTTATTTTTTTTATAACAAAATTATCTAAATTAAAAAAAAAAAAAAACAAGTAGGTAAAAATATACCTATTTTCATATTTAATATATTTTTTTAATTAAAATTGAATTTTGAGGATTTGACGATTCGAATTTTGATGTATACAACGCGGTGTATTGCACAATAGGTACCTACTGATTAAATCTAGCCTAGTAGCTAGAATGATAGGTATTTAAATCTAATAAAAGGTAATAATTATCTAAAATCGCTTACGAGCGGTAAGGAAGACTCAAACTGCAACCACGATATTTCTAGGTAATCAATGATTATAACTAGGGCTCGGAAGTTGATGCATTTTGCATTTTTTTTTGGAACTTTTTAGACGATGCTCTCCTGGCAACAAATCTGTTTCATAAGCATGTGAATCTAAATAACTAATTTTTATTTTGCATTTTTTTGCAATTTTTGGTGTTTATTACTTTTTAAGTCAGTTTTTGAGATTTTTTGGTCATTTTTCCATATTTTTAGTTATTTTTACTGATTTCACACTAGTTAATTTCTTATCGTTTCTTGTTGACCATTATGCCGATAACTTAAACCACAGACATTTATAAAACAAATATTTTTTAATTTTTAATTTTCCTATTTTAAGGACATTTTTGTCATTTTTATGTCATATTTTGAATTTTATAGTAAAATAGAGTAAAATATTTAAAAAAAATATATTTTTATTAATATAAAACTAATATTTGTAATTTTTTTAGGTTATTTTTTTAGGACATATTTTGCTATTTTTATCGTCATTTTTTATTGTTTTTAAGGTCATCAACTTCCGAGCCCTAATTATAACTATCAAATTATAACTATCGTTAATCAATGACTAAAAACATACATATTATTTATATTTCATGAAATGTTATTTTACAATATTATTTAATATAAAATAAGTATTTCAACTAAAATTTCAAAAATTACAGATAAATTTCATTAGGCCCACAAACCCTCAAAATAGCCGGGCCCCTGTACTCAAGGTCCATCAGCCCCCTACCCTTGTGGGGGCCCTGACAACCATACATAATTTTCTTGTAATGAGGTGTGTATATTGATGTTTAAGTATGCATTAATATACTTATTAATAAATTCACATTATTGTAAAACTATTACGTTCATTGCACTGTAATCTGTTCAGAATCCAAATATATACATACTGTATGAACTTACTGGAGTTGGTATTGATTTGTTAACCATTATATCACATAAAGTTTCTAATGTTACTGAGGATCGCTCAGGATTCGAATAAAATCTGTTGTTTTTATTGTACTGTACAATTCCTGCGAAATTATCAGCTAAAATTTCAAATAAATATGATACATCTTTATGGTTTTTTCTGTCTAAAGGATAACATAATCTAAAACATTTCAAAAACATTTATTATTTATACATGAAATGTAGATCATATTATTGCGGTTCATTTATATTACTGGAATTTTTTTTCAATTATTTTTGCTCCATGGTCAGTTTTAAGCAAATAGTTTATCATTTGATTTGCTTCTTTTATTTGTGACACACATTCTGGCTTATATGTAGCTAATGCATTTTCGACTACCATAAAATACTCTAAAAAATTAAACTATATAACTATGTTGAATTGTGTAATGGCATTGTTACTCTATAGTACGAAGAAAGTAAAAACTATTAAATAATTTCACCCATTTTATTCGGCGTACTAACAAATTTTAATTGTTCTAAGTATATAAATTATATTAAATTATGATTTTCATATTATTTTTTTTTTTATTATTATTATTCAGTATTTACACAATAACCTATTATAGCTCTCTAAATATTTAAAAATTATAATCTAGCGCTGTACATACAAAATTATAAATAGGTACTCGATAAGCAATAAACATGTATTTAATTATTGACAGTCAATATTATTGTACAACAATTTGATTTAGACACGTAGTCAGGATTTTATTTTGACAAAGGCAAATATTTTTTTTAAAGGGACAAGAGTGTTAACAGACATTTTTTCAAAAGGGCATCAATTTTGCATTGTCTATAAGTATTTATTTTATACATTTTTAATGCTATAAATTTTTTATTTTTTAAAAAATATGTATTTATATTAATAAACTAACAAAAAACAACTAAAATAGTTTTTAATTTACATGGCTGGTTTATTAAGTATAAGTACTTTAGTCTTTAAGTACACATGTCCCTTATTGTATTAAATTGAAATAATGATTAATACCTTTTAACAACTTAATTAGTAGACTGTTGTTTTTACTATATTATTTTCAAATGTATATTAAAATATGCATATTGTTTAATGATTATTATTCAAAAATCACGATATTTTACTGGAAAACATTTTCAATCAATTTTTAATGTACATACCTCTGAAATCAATTTTTGCCAACAAAGGCCCACTAGTAGAAACTGCCATGTGTATGAGATGTGGGTATTTCATTCTTAACCATGCAGCTAAAGATCCAGGGTAAGATCCTCCAAATGCTACCCATTTAGCTGTTGGCGGTATTTTATATTTAATTTTGATATTAACAATAAATTCTGCCAAATCAGCTAATGCTTGTTCACTGTTCAAGTACACTAAATTGCTAGTACTTAAATCTCTGAAAGATATATGTTTATACATAAAAATATTATATATATGTAATTATAAACTAGCATTAAAAATAAATAAATACAATTTGCAGAAAATTATCATTAAAATAAAAGTAAGCAGTGAGAATAGGTTAGGAATTATATTTTAAATTTTATTCAAAATATTATTTATAATTTGTTTGATTTTACACTTTTATAGAAATATGTCGAATATTCTGAACGAAGCAATGAATATATTGGTTTTATAATGTGTTTATTTTATCATCTATGCCAATTCTGTGGAAAATTATACATTTTAGAGCAGTAAAAATGGTTTGATTTTCAACTTGGAAAAAGTGATTTCTCCTAGTAAAACTGATCAATTTGGAAGCTCAAAAAATAAATAAATAAATAAATAAATAAAAATAAATTACGAAAAAACGAGAATTATTATTTATTACTCTTAACTAGCTTTTTATCAAATCGATTTATATTGATTTATATTTTATTTATTATAAAGAATATCAAATTTATAATATTATAACAATTTAACAAACATTGAAGGCATTTTTAAAGGACTTATAATTTTTCATTCAATATAAATAGTACCTATTATCATAGATTAAATATACTATAATACTATAGTGTATTTAATCTATGCTACACAGTCTAGTATACACATTACATAATGAAATTTAATTTATTGATGAGACTAAGTTTATATTATTTATATACCATGAACGGAATGAACTTGTTTACATAGTTTTATGATACAATACTGTTGACTTAGTTTTATAAGTTAATAAAAACTATAAAAAAAAATGATTTATTTATTTTACTGTACCATAATATATAATAATACGTAAAATTCATTTTCAGCAAACTTAAACGTCCTCTTAAATAAAGAGTGTAAATATTATAAAAAACCTTGGAAGTATTGCCGCTGTATATCAGATCTAGCTGTCGAATGTGCTAAGTGTACCCAGTTATTGAGTAACATATTTTATCATATTATATAAATTCAATAATATCAAAAACTACGTAATTGCAATATTTTTTTCTAAGTGTTCAAATTTTGAATGTTCATAAAATTCGTCAAGATCACAGTAATTTGCTTATTACTTTGAAATTAAAAATTCATAAAACTTTCAATATTTATACATAGTAGATATTATAATTACTACTAGGTTTCTCATAATTTTTATTACTAGATTTCTAAAAAGAAAAGAAAAAATTTGAACGTAATTTTACAAATATTTTTAATGAACATCTGAAGTTTATATTTTATCCAAACAAAATATTTACTCGTAAATTAAAGATTTCTCATCAAACAATTTCTTATTATGTTATAATTCAAAAAAATAATAACTAGGATACGGATTTGAAGGTAAAATCCTTTTTAATAGAAAAATAATTTTTGTAGAATTGTTTTTTCGAATGCAGTGATTTCATTTTAACACATCCATTGTAGTGAACAAATTAACGACGAAGTATCTACACTTTACTTATATTGTATATAGTAGGCAGTTAACTTACTTCCCCATTTTTACCTCCGATTTTTTTTAAAGTAGATACATAAAAAATTTTTAACCGAGTAGGTGGAAACACGTTATTTTGACACGCGTTAAATGACATATGGTCATTTGAACGAATTATATTTGGGCGCATGCGACATTTCGACTGTCCAATTTTGATGCCACTAGGCACGAGTTAATTTCAACGTAAAACAAAAATAATATATCATATACGGTGTATCGCGGAGATATGGTCATTTTACTTCAAAATTATATTATATTTTGTCAGATAATTGTAAAAATAAATCAGTCATATCACTCGAAATTAATTTTCACCTAAATGTAGTAGCGCAAAAATTACTGTGTCAAAATAACAAGGCACCCGAGTAGGTAGTTCCGATTTTGAACTGAAATTACTTTCTAAATTGAAGATTTGAGCATTATTTTTACTTCTTCAAAATTTGATAACAAACAAAAAACTAATACATTAATCACTCCACACAAAGTCTAATAAATAACAAAAAAATTGAAATTGTTCTAAATTAATTTTTCCCTAAAGACATAATATACGAATACACCTATACTATCTATATAAATCTAATATGTCATAAAATATTTATTGAAGATATTAAAGATATTATAGGTATAAGAATATTACCGTTAAAATGCATTGCTTTATATTTTATTATAAATCTTACTCAGTTGGGTGACTTTCACCATAATACCGATGTTCCAGTTGAAAACATAAAGCATTAAATTCTTTAGCATAATCAATCCAGGCTCCACTGCGCATCCATTTAGCTGAAATTTTTCCTTCTCCTCCAATCATTAAAAACACTGGTCCGTCATTTTTATAAAAGTCCGAATTTACTTGATACCTCTATGCATATAATTTATCAAGATTACCTTTACATTGGATTTTTTGAACTTACCTGTTTCCACGTTCTATTATCAGTATGATTGAAATGATTTAATTTTTGTATAAACCATTCATCTTCCGCTTCCATTGCTCTTAATGATTCTGGCTCATTTGGTTCTCCTAAACCAATAAGAATGTTTTTCATACTGTTGGCTGATGAATTTAGCCATATAAAAGGCCATAATACACAAAATATCGATTTCATTTTTCAAATAAAAATATGCAATCTAAAAAAAAAATGTGTAATAATATATTTGTATAATAATATGTATAAAATAGTTATAAATAATAAATTCCAATGATATGTTACAATTTGTGGTTTGAATTTGAATTATTGTACTGAAATGAAAATTATATTTTATTTTCATAATTTTTTTCTCATAAATTAGGTATATAGGTAGGTAATTAATAATTAATCATTAGTTTACAAATTGTTTTTATGTAATAAAGTTATCAAATATTCAAAAAACAAACTGAAGTAAGTACCTATCTATATCTATTTTTACTAAAATATTGTAATTAGTGAAATTATTTAAATATGTTATAAATGTCTTTTGTATCAATAATTATATTATTATAAATTAAAATAAATATCACTATTTATTAAGTATTTCATAATAAAACCTATGAAATCAGGTGAAGTATCTGATGTATTCACTATAATAGATTAAAATATATGTAAGTATTCGTTGATAAAGCAATGTATTTGAAGATCAAAAGTGATTTTATTTTATGTTCATTATCTGATTCGAGTTTAAATTCATTAATTGAACCTCTTAACTGTTTACTATCTACTATGCTTGTAAATTTAAAAAAAAAAAAAAAAAATTAAAATTCACAAATCACAATATGAATAAGTTAATCACAAAAAAATATCTTTCATATATTTTTTAACCTTTTTAAATTAAATATAGCTAGTTATAGCTAAATATAACCGCTAAGTCACGCAAAAAATATACGAATGGATATTTTTTTGATTCCTTTCCACTATACTTCAATAAGGTATCTGACAATTTCTTTCTAATTATTCATGAATATATTTATAATTATATATAAATCATGACAGTCATGCCATATTAATATACTATTTATTCTATACTATTTACCTGATAATATTTTTGTTCAGTCAGATATTTTACTGAAGTGTGATGGTTGAAAGGAATATCGATACATTTACATTTTGATAAATTTTACATGACTTAAACATTTTTAAACTTCAAGATATTAGTTAGAAATAATTATATTTCAGTAAATCATAATTACATTTTTGTAGCAATATATTTTATTTTTTATTAAAAGGTTTTTAACTTTATAATTAGTATTAAAGTATTAACATTTAACTTTATTTTTAGACCATACTACAGAGGTAGATTGCTTACTAAATGATAGCTATCATGTGCATAGTAGCTCATAATTTTGATAAAATAAAGTGTATTAACCTGATATATTTCATGTAATTTGTATAAGATCGGAGATTTTTTTTAAAACACTTAAAATCCTTCACCAAATATTATTTAGAGAAATAAGTTAATTTTAGATTTAAAAAATTTACTTCTTCACTTGTAAAAATATATATAGATTTCGTAAACATGTACACTAAACCGGCCAGACAGATACTATACAATTATATAACCAGTAATAAAATGAAAATATATATACACTTTATTTTCCCCTCTTGATATAATTGAAACTAAATAATTAGAATATATTATATTTATCAACAAATTAGGTAAGCAAATGCCTATTTCTTAATGAGTTTGTCTATCTTATCATTAGACACTTGTGCTCAGCAATAGGCTTAAAAATTAAAAATCATTAGGTATATGTTTACATAAAATATAATTGGTACCCAATGACCATTTTCACTTCAGGTTTATCTAATAATAATAAAAATGTATATAATTGTATTCAGTATTGTAATTCATAAGTATCTAGGAAGAAAGCGTTGACTCCTAAAAACGCACATTTTTGGTAGGTTAAAACCGCACAATTTTTAAAATTGTTGTATCCAAAAACCACATACTTTTAATTTTAATCCCAAAAAAGTTATTTTTACCTAGATTAGATATACTTAATAAATAATAATTTATAATTTATTCAAAAAAAAAAATATGTATACACAAGTATTCAAATATAAAAAATTTAAAAATGTATTTAAACAAAAATATGCGAGTATTTAAAAATATAAAATGTGTAAAATGTTTAAGTTTGATTGGCTGAATTCTATTACCAACATTTTTTAAAAACTTCAAACGATCACCGTCTATTAAAAATTCTTCCCAACATTTAAATGAGTGCTTCTAAAATAAATAAAATTTAATTAAAAATCGAAAATATCACTATTACGTATTTACTAACTTGTTTTTGTTTTTCAATTGGACGGACAATGTTTTGCACTCCATTATGGTTCTGGTTCATTCTCGTTACTGTATCGATATCAGGGGCGTGCCCAGGGGGGGGTTTTGGGTGTTCAAACCCCCCCCGAAAAATAAAAATAATTGTTAATAAAAGTTTTACATAATATTATAATATATAATATATTATAATGTATATAATATATGTAATATATATATTACTATTGAATAATATGACTCGATCTGACATATGTATGTTGTTTGAATATTGTATATATGGCCAATTAATATCTATTATCTAGTAAAATAAATACACTTATACTCTTAAAATAGGTACGTGTTAGTAAAAATATTGAACCCCCCCCGAAAAAAATTTCTAGGCACGCCCCTGATCGATATGAATATTTCGTAAAACATCGATAACCATAAATACGGATGGATTAGGGGTGTAAAATTCAGAATTAAATCCTTGGTGAAATCTTTCAGCTCCATTTGTTATCCTTGTAGTTATATTTTCATTGATTCGATGGGTCTAAATGTCAATTGAAAACTGTCCTTCGATGTAGTTGTCAAAAATTAGTCTCCAAATTCAGTACATGCATCTTGTGGTAGACATATGGACATTAAGTCAACGAATGTCTCAGTGACTTCATGTACTGGTAAAAATAGTAAACCGAAAAACATTTTTAACCACTGACTTGTTTCATTTTGATTACTATAATATGATCTTCGAAGGTTATTGATTTATTGGATTTTCCGCCATAATAATTGACCAAAATGGAATCTACAACCTTTAACCTTTACTCCAGTAAATATTTTTTGTACGGCATTACAAGCAGCTATTTCAAAGTCGAAATGGATAATTTTAATAGTTAAAACTTGACCTAACTCCATACATAAATTTTTAATATTGACCCACATTTTTATATAACAAGATTCAGTTTTAGAAAGTAAAAAATAATGTATTAAAGGAAAATAATAATTCCTGCTCCATCCATGTATAGTATACTATACATAATAGTATATCTTATAATCTTATCTTATCCGTTAGTTAGCACTAAAAATAGTGTGCAGTTTTAACCACTATAAGTTTGGGGAATTTTTTTTTATATAATGATCAATAAAGTGTGCGGTTTTCGGATGCAACCGAAGAAGGTACTATTTTTTTTTAAATACCAAAATTAAAAAGGAGAACCCATACTTAGAAATTAAATACATAATTATCCTAAAAAATTAGTTTTTTTAATTTCCATGTATCGTAATATAGAAAAAAAAAATGAGAAATGCAACAAAAAGTAGGATAAGTGTTTAAATGTACACTTTTTTCAAACAAAATCTTGACTATTTACTGAAAAACAAGTAAACATTCAAATCTAAATATACTAAATAGATCACACAGTAATACAAATATACTATATCATGTGATTATCACATTTACATATTTCATATTATTTATGAGTTTATTAGTTTTATATTACCTATTTAGTATACAGGTACTCATATATACATATAGGTCATTAATTGACTTTTAAAAAATTGTATTATGTTTATTACAGCTACTTCTAGATTTTCAAATAGTTGATATACTATCATATTTATTACCAACATGTATATTAATATGTGTTTGCTCATTCAATATTTTATCATAAACAGGTACTAATAAACGTTACTTAAAGTAGGTACTTAAAATTAATTAAAATATATAAATCAAATTTTATTTTATTATAAATCATAAAAACTATGAATTAAAATCACTAAACAATTCAAAAAACATTATGCTAAATAAACTGCACAAAAAAAAGTTCACAGTTATTTATAGTTTAAAAGATATCAAAGATAAATGTAAAATGTGGCTATAATACTAAAATCATATATACAAAAACAAACCAAATAAAACTTAGTACTTGCAGATAATAACAGTTGTTATTCATTAAATTTATATCTTACAATCTAACCTATTTTTAATTTATCATTAATATTTGTGAAGTTAACTTATTTGTGAAGTTATTAAGCTCTGCTTAATAATTAATTTACAACTCATATGACAATATACAATGATACAACAATTTTTCTTTTACTAATTAATATTTAAGTACAATTTATTCAGTACGATTAGTATCATTTTTTATCATGTGCTCAGGTCTCAAAAAACTTAATGGTCCATTAACTACTTGTGCTTTCAAAACTCTACCGTGTCTACATTGAGGATAAATGCAACCAAAAGAGGGTACACAGATTCTACTATTGATACCATCTATTTCAAGCTTCTTATATTCACCTCTGGTCCTCAAGGTGCAATATTTGGACTGTATCTATCATTAAGAATAACAATTAAAATG